TTGTGTGTTTGAAAAAGCTAGTGCTGGCAGTTCCAGACACTAAAGTGAGGGCTCAACTGATTCCGCTTAACGTGGGAAAGATACAAAATAGAACACACTTTAGAAACTTCTGTTCTTCTTCTGCGAGACCAGGGACAGATTAAGTGAGGACGTGACAGCTGAAAAAAAGGTGTGATCAGATTTTTAACTAAGAATCAGATATTGTCATTTATCATACTAGATGCAATACATTTACTTTTCCTGGCTCGCTAGAGATGGTTGGGATAATTGTTTCTACCCATAAAGTAACACTATGGGTATGTTTTGGAACACAGTTTAAGGTTTTTGATGATCCTCTCTTAAAAGTAATTAGGAGATTGTGTTCTGTGTCAACTAACATATTTGGTCACATTTATACATGCAATCTCCTGGAATTTTCCAGTTATACTGTAGAGATTTTTTTAGCTTGTTGGGTCTGCCCGGTTCTGAGAGACAATTTATTCCAACAATTTCCCCCAGTCCTAATATTATTACTGTTATTCATAGCAAGCCAAGCCATGGCATTCTAGGTAACAGAATTCACCAGGCTGGGATTCCCATCCAATCTAGTTAGGGGACAATTCTCTGAAATGTGAATCACATCTGCAGCTAGGGGGAAAACCCTGTCAAACTCTGTCTGCATCTGCTGGCAGTGCACTAGGTTTGAACAGTGCAAAAATTATTTGCGGGGAGAGGGAATGACTAGAGGCCCCATGGCAAATTGGCATCTTGTTGTAGAAAAATGGCAAGTGAAACATGTAAATGACTGGGAGGAACAACAGAATTCAGCTCAGAAAGGGCAGTTCCTATATTGAAACATTGGAAGTCCAGAAAAATAAATCTGAACTTTGAACCCAGCCACTAACTGAGACATCTTTTACTTGGTCGCTCTTCTAAGCATCCCTAGTTCTGATGGAAGTCTATAAGATTTGTAGTATCTCAGCACTGAGCATTTGATGGCTAATTTGGATGCCAGTGATTTTTCTTAAGTAGGTCTCTCAAGACTCTGTGATGTTGCTTGGTTACAGTCATTCCCACAACTCTCAAATAAACCAAAGCAAATGTAAAACTGGTTTCTATTTATGGGCTGGGTTACTCTACAGATCCAAACAAAACAAAATCATAAATCCTGTATAGCCACTTTAACAATCTTTTTCTTTTTCAAGAATTGCATTTGGGTAGTTACAGGAGCTTTATTTTATATTGTATTTTTTCAAGATATTGTACATAGGAAAGTGGCAGTTTCTAGGACCCTGTAGAGAATAAGATATTTCTCTGCTGAATCTTAAATTCAGATGCTAGAATTTTGCATAAAGATACAAAGTAGCTAATATTTGTTAGCTGGGCAGGTGGGACTCATTAGCCAGAACATAAAAGGTCTGAGAATGCTTTAACAGCAGCCCCAGTTTCTGCAGGGAGAAGCTTAAACTGAGATTTGTTTTGTTATTTTACTTGGCAGTACAATTGCAGGAAAGGATAAGTCTGAATGATATACAACAGTTGTGTCAAAGATCCAGCCTGCCATGCTGCCAGTAGGTCTCAGACCATCTCCACGTGTTGCACACAGTGCACGGGGCTGGACTGGTGAACATGCTGCTTGTGGCACACAGGATCAGCTCAGCCCTGAATGCTGGTTCTGGAGCCAGGCTTGAATCTGGCCTGTGCACCATATGCAATGTGCCCCAGACTGGCCCCATAAACTACATGCAGCATGGGAGGCCAGGGCCAGTATATGCTGCTGGAGCTGGTACGTGTGCTGCATACAGGATGTTAGACTGGTCTGGGGCATGCACTGCATAGAGCACTTATGCCAGACTGGTCCTGGCACTGGGTCTGATGTATGGGGCCTTTCTGTGGAGCTGATCCAACCTGCAGACAAGCTATGGAGCTGAATGTGTTTGATACCCCTGCTGTACAACATGCATGTGTGCTCTTTAGAGGTAGAATGGCAAACCTACTTGCTCCACTTGTGGGTGTGTGGCAGCATACTTCCGCTAGTAGCAAGGATCTGCCTCAGGATCTCAATTTGTTTTCTGAGTATTAATAAATTATAGTTTCACAAATAATCATAGTGCAATAGGATATCATTCAGATGTATGCACCCATTGTTCTCTGGAAAACTTTTCTTGGCTTTGTGGTGGGCCAGTAGGGGGTGCTTCTGCACTGAGTCACCCACCTCACTGCACTCAACCACCTTCCAGGCTCTGAGTGCCTCCCTGGGGGCGCCTCACGTCTACCTGACCCCCTTTCTGGAGCACACCTGCTAGCCTAGGGGTAGTGCCACCACCACCCATGATTTGGAGTGATCGTGGTTCTGTCCCCTCTGGGAAACACAGACCTAGTAGCCCTTGAGGGTACCTGACCCACTTCAAGAACTTAGGGTGCTTCCCTTAGACTGAAGCACAAATAGCGGTCTACCTCAGTCAGCCAAGCCAAGGGGACCTCAAGGCATAATCTAGACCCACTCTCAGTAAGTCTCCCACGCTAGGTACAAAGGAGAACTTTATTGGTTACAAGGAGTAAGTTTGGAATAGGGTACAGGGTTGAGCAATATCAGAGAAATCCCATAGAGCAAAGAGGGTGGCTGGGTAGCCTTTGTAGATCTCAGGTAGCTTACTCACGAGTATCATCATCCAGAGGCAGGTGGAGATTCCCTCTGGAGGCTGGCAGTTCATTGATCATGAGTTTCAAGAGAGAGAGAGAGCAAGTTTCAGAAGGTCCAGCTCTTCTCTCTCAGAGTTTTCATCATAGCTGCTGCTCCTCCTCCTGAGCAGTCCTTAACTTATATAGCCCTTATGACCTCGTTTACTGGGTCCAACGGAGACCAGCATCTGTTGGCTGCCAGCCAACCAATTTGAAATGTATCACTGGTTGCTGGGCGGACTGGCAGGGTTTCTAGCCCCCTCCCAGTCAGGTTGGCATTGCTTAGAACAGTAGGGAGTGTAAGCCCCTCACCCAAGTATGCGATGCCAGTCATGTAGGCAAAGGGAGCAGGTTTTCCCCCTCCCTCAGGAATGTATCCAACTCAGGTTACCTAAAGAGATGGGATGTCTGCCCTCTGCAGGACCCATATTAACCAAATAGTAACAGAGCAGAGTTTTTGGGGAGAGACAGAGGTGGCCTTCTGCCACAGGCTTCAGGTAGCAGATCTTGACTGTCTGGTAGCCAGGCACCATAGCGATGAACAGTCTGCAGATGCCTACATGCTATTTTACTCTCTTTTCATGCATGGAAGAATAGCTGTAAAATGAAAGACAACTTTTTTGTCTTGCTACAAGAAATAACATGCCTGCTTCCCCAAGGGATCTGATAGTGAGTCTCTTGACTTCTTATAAACAGCTGTATTTTAGGTAAAGTTCCACAGAGAATGCTGTTGTAGAATTTCCATGCATGAATTAATTTCTTGGTGAGCAGGAAGAGGAGTGCTTCTGGGAGATATGGTGGATCATTCTGTCCCATTAGGCTCTTTAATGAAGCACCTGTCATGGATGCCAAAAAATCTTTTTACGGTGGCATCTGAAGGAAGAAGCTAAATTAACCATAGACCATAGTTGTCTTAAATATTCAAAGTAAAACACATTCACAGTCATGAAAAAGTCCATTCCTATCAGTCAGAAGTACAGTACTGTAGGAATGCCTGTAGTAGATAGAAATTATTGATGATCTGCTCAGGTCTCTTCAGATCCTACAAACTATGAAACTGTTACGGTTTACATAATATCAGTTTCTGAGGTCTTGTGTTATGGCAGAAACCCCACAACTCATTCTTTTAAATATCTTGAAACTTTCAATAGGTCCAGTATTTTACAATGGAGTTATGAGCATGATTTACTATCAGATATTGAGTGTGTAACAATGTGACTTGGACCTTCTGTTCTTGAATAACTGTCCACATCCACGTTCTTCATTAGTGGGTGTGTCTCATGTCCAGAGCCTTGTACAGGAGAGAAGACTTTTTGCTACAGGAGTAAACATAGCATGTTCTTTGGTCTTGCTTCTCTTTGTGGCCTGCAACCAAGAGATGAAGGGAGAGTGTACTGGCTGCTCCTCTGTTCATTTTCACCTACCTGGTTGAGAGTAAGTGATGGCTATCTAGTACTTGCCACAGTTCCCCATCCCCCCTGCACCTGATCTCTCATCAAATTATCTGTATTTAATTTACATTTCCTTACACTTTTACCCAGTTTATTTTTGCTGCTCACTGCAACTTACCCAGAACAGATCCATCTGGATCTGCCTGAATCTGCGGAGGACCTTTCACTGAGCCATCTGACCAGAAGGCCATTTCTGGGATCCCCACATTTGACAGGCTAATCTAGCCCCAATGGCTTCATCAGCAAGCTTAGGTTCCAGTTGTGACTCCACCTCTGATTACTCTCTGGATCAGGAACGTTCCTATTTTCAGATCAGCTCCTGGGGAAAAGGACTTAAGAATTCCTGGTCTCATGACCTTCCATGGCCCTTGAGGCCATGGAAGGTCATCCTTCCCTTCCATGGCCTTAAGGGACCCTTCCCCAATACTTCGCTCTGGTCATATATGCCCTGGGAATTCCAGTCACTGTGCACTTATGGGTGATGTAGTCCCCTTCATGTTTGTCACTCTCCTCCTCCTGAGTCTCACAGATAATCCTGGTCTTAGGATTCACACTCACTTAGGCTCTCCAGACCCAGTACTTGGCTGTTTGACCTCTTTCATGAGTTCTTCCCCTTCTGAGAGGGTGACACACCGATGCCTCTTCTATCAGTGTATCCTAGTATCTTCCTGGACAGTGTAGCTGAGCTCTTCCTTATCTTTCACCAGCCAAGACCCTCCATAGTGGTCTTTCCCTTTAATATAGCTATCCTAGAAGTTGTTTGTTTACCCAGTGCACATCAGCCTTCCATCTCCATATAGGCAAAATGGCAGTCAGGAGTTAAAGGAGTCTTCCAAAATAGGTGGAGTGCCTGTATTTATATCCTACCCCTTTTCTTTTTGTTGGTAGCAGCAGTGAATAAAGACTAAAGCATCCTGTGTCAGCACCTGCAGTAAGGATCCCAAGAGGCTGGACTCTGGACAGGTATGGTGCCTCATCCTCATCTATCCTCCAATTTTGGATAATCAGCTATAAAAGTTTGTTGGCTTGATAAACCAACTTTGTTGGCTGCATGAATACATTGTCTTGTCTGTGGGCTCTCTGTCATCTCTTCATATAGGTAGCCAGGAAAGGTAGATAAAATAACATGGGAGAATTTCCATGGCAGTTGTTGCCACTGAAAGGTCACTGGAGCAATTTGAATGTAGGGCCTGCATCTTCCAAGGATCAGCTATAAACCTGCCTCGAGTGAATGACATCACATGTGGGATTTATATTGGCAGCTATAAAGGGCAACACTTTCTTTCCTCCAGAGTAACAGGACATGTACTTCACAGTCTGTTTCTGCTTGAAAATGTGGAGTCGTTTCTAAAATGTACCTTTTATTATTATAGGAAATTACCTAAAGCATTTTCAAACTTAAGCTACAATATTTTCTTTGATAACAAAAATGAAATACGCTTCCTATTAGGTGTTGTATCTTTATTCTTGACTTCCTTTTTCTTCCCTCTAGTCATTATTTCCTGTATAGTTTTTTTTTTGATGATATGCCATGAAACACGTAGCTAGAACAAAATGGTCAGGAAGGTAACCAAATTATGGAGAAAAGTCCCATATAAATCCATTTATTTTTCAAAGGATTACACCTCATTTGGTCAAATTTGACATATGTAGTCTTGTGTGGGGAGAGAACTTTTACAATATCCCATAAAACTTAACTTTTGCAAAATTTGCATATGATATATATCTTTTTAATTTACTCACTTTCACCATTTTAAGTTACATTAGTGCCTTAAGTGTCCACTAAGATATACAGTTTCCCTCAAATAATGTCTTTATTTTAAAAAATAGCCTATATCTGTAAAGAGCTAAAATTCTAATATGAATGACTTCATGTAAGTGGCCTATGTGTGAGAACTCTTTGAGAACAGCAATAAAAGCTATTTATAATTTCCTATGCCAAACCATTCTTGAAAAAACCTAATCATTTTTCTAAGTCATAAAACTCTGCCCATTCAATTTTAGTTGCATTGTCCTGAGAAATTCTTCTCTTCTTTGGCATAAACAGTGTTGGACTGAAAGGGAATCTCTCTCATACATTAGAGTTGGGGTGAGCAAAATGTTCCTACAGTGGTAGCTAGGAAAAATTGAAGTCCCTGATAGTACCAAAGTGGCAGAGTGAATGTAGGGCAATAGTACTTGTGCTCTCTCATACACCTCCCCGTACTCTTGGATGAAATATGCTTCACTGTCTGAGGATACAGAAATGGGCATGTGCTCCTTGAGGGCCTTGTGAGGATATCAGTCTCATTACTGAATACTAAAACCTCTGCCTTTTAGGCACAATTTGAGCCCAAAGGAACTTTATAACATTATCGTAGGCTTAATAGCTTGCATTTCTTCAGTGAAGCATTAGACTCGAGTGTTCTATTCATGCACTTGGTTTTGTATGTCAGTGTAATAAAAACACTCAGGAAATCATGCAAATCATATACAGAAGCATTCATATATTTTGAGTCTATAGTAGAGGCTGAGTATTGTTCAGTATTAAAGAAATAATGAATCCATGAAGACAAAGCAACTCAGCTAGCTTTGAAGGATGTGTCTCCTTTAAGATATTCCAGAATTTCCTACTGACTGTAAGTGGGGCTTGTTAAGAAAGCCTTGACAAGTGTGTGAGTAATTCAAACTATTAACAGATCATTATACTATAGTAAAACCAAAGGAAATCACAGTATAGGCAGCAAAAACTCAAACTGTAGACCGTGATTGCCACCTTCTTTTTAAGTACAGTGGTTTCTTGCCAGCACACTAAAGAAGTTAGTTTTTATTAATCTGTGAATGAATATACAATCAAATTATGGTTGTGTATGTTTAGTTATAAGCAAAGATGACTTTCTGCACAGTTATATGTGGATTGGCAGGAGCCTTGGGCTCTCAGGGCCTGTCTTCACAACAGCAGTTACCTGGAGTTAGTGCACTAGCTTAGCTGGAATAAGTGACCACATTACAAAACAGTACTCAAGCCCCATCAGGTGACTGGATTAACATCTGGTGAGTTGCTGTAACAACTCCCAGGCCTCAAGCAACTCAACCTCTCCCAGGTTACTAGCAAAATTTGACCTTTAGTTCTGTCCTCACAGGTCAGCTACTTTGAGATCAAAATACAGTAAAAGCTGTGTTAACCGGCATTTTATTAGCTGGAAAACTTAACTGGCATCCGAGCGATGCAGCAAAAGCGAAACCAGAAGTACCACTTCTGGGGGACTTCCCATTTCACCGCTGCAAGCTGAGTTTTTCTTCACCACTTTTTCGGCCCACAGCTTGGGTGGGGCCCCCCTACCTGTCCCCCGGCACACTGATGCCGGGGAAGTGCACCAGACGGTGCACATTTGTTTAACCAGAATATTTGATTAACCAGCATCCCCCATTCCCAGGGGATGCCGGATAACAGAGCTTTTACTGTACCACTTTGAATTCAAGCTAGAGCTATTTGCCTCTGCACAGCTGGGTTAGAGTTATTGCTCAAGTTATTGCTCAAGCTCACAAGGCAGTGAAGAGAAGCCCTCAAAAGTTGGGCATTGGGTTGTCTGCACACTGATTTTGGCCAGGTTAGTCAGGTTATGAGAGAGCAAATTGCTCACAGAAAGAGCACCTGAAAAGAAACTGATAACCTTTCTTGTAGCTTTCAGCTATTCCAGAAGATACAGCCCATTAGCCTAGCTGGAAAAGCAGGAGGAGAAACTAGAGTTTACTTCACACCTTATATTTGTCCTCGCTAATTACTGTACAGCTTACATATAGATAACTAAATTTAGGGCTCATCCATACCCTTGCAACGGCTGGTCCAAGAAGGATGAAGCTGAGCTTCCAGCTCTCAAGGATGTCAGTATACTCAGGTGGGCAGGACATACTTACTTCTGTGCTCCCTGAGTCCACTGCTGCCATGGTGTAGACAGGCCCTTAGAGCAGTAGTTCTTAACACTTTTAGATTTGAGAATTGGGTGGCACCCCATTTCAAAAACAAATGCATCTGAATCCCACAGTCAGAAATGACTGAGTCATCCATGGGTCATAAGCCCCCAACTTAAAGGTATTTAGAAGCCTAATAGTGTAGCTAGATACTTTGTGGGATTTTCGCAAGCATGTATGTGCCTAAAGACCTTTAAAAATTAGGGCTTTAGGCTTAGAACAACAAAGTTATTTAATAGGTACCTAACCCCTATTGGAAAAACGATGGGAGAAAGATGCATAAATACCTTTGTGGATCTAACCCTTAGTGCCCATTACAATTTTTAAAGGTATTTTGGTATTGCTCTTTTAAGACCTACAGGACTGGCATGGCTAAATTCTGTTTCAGAAGTGACCTGGGCCTCCAGGCCTTATTGAAAGTCAATGGCACTTGGGCTGTTTAAGTCACTAGGGCATTTCTGAATGAATGTTTTATTTTAAACCTTAACACTTAATAGGGTTTCTAACTTTTTCCCAGTGTGGAGATGCTGTTAGTGTTCAGGCTGTTGGTGCATATAAGCATCGTGAGTCACTGCTGGCCTGACAGTGGTGTGCAAATTAACACATGCAGATAGGGAGTGTGCAAAACTGAATTCTTTAAAGTTTGAGCCTGGATATGCAAAAGTAGTACAGTATATAAGTAGCCCAATGAGGTTACTGTTCACAACAATAAAAATTCTCTCATTACCTCTTTTCCTCCACTACCTTTCCTAATTTAGGATGTTTATATTTCATTTTACTGCCTCATCACACTAGTCTCTGTGCTTTTCTCTGACGTTTTCCAAATTCAAATGTTATTAAAGTACAGCTGTCCTTTTGATAGTGAAAATTCCACTAGTGGTGTTTGCCTTCATTGAACTCCCATGTCTGCCTCTGAAAGCTGAATGTCAGTTTCAAAATTGTATGCATTAAAAGGCAAAACAATGACACTAGCCCATACCCTACACTGAGATCTACCTCCTTATCACCTTGCCAGTTGCTCCATGGAAGCAGTGTGCCACCTCCCAGGGATTGTAGTCAGTACCTTTTAAAGCAGCAGCAGTGTGCTTTTTTCTGTAGCTACAATTATAGGTTCTTTAGGCTCCTTGTACAGTGCTAATGCTATTAAGCCATGACCTATCTGGGCAGGTGGTGCAGCTACATATCCCCCCACCTTTGGATCTAAGCTATCACAGCTTACATCTACATAAGCACAGCTTCTGCTGCAAGGTCTATGACAAGGGTGGGCATTTATTTGGGCCTGTGGGCCACATAGAAAGTTTTGGTGATCTGTTGCAGGTTGAGCCAGTGTCCTTCCCCCGCCCTCTCCTGTGCAACAGCTTACCAAAACTCCTTAAGTGGCTCTGTTCCTCACTAGATTGAGT